CTTCAAGGCCGACAGCAGCCCGCTGCGCACAACTGTCAGCCGCACAGCGGCGCTCATGACTCTGGTGTCAGAGTGGCCAGCGCGCAGTTCGCTGGCCGACACGTGTGGACCGACCGGCTGACCGACACGGCAGCGTTGGCACGCCAAACCCCGGCGAGACCGGCAGCGGCGGTGGGCGGTGGTCGCGGCGGGGCGCGGGCGATGGGCGATGGGCGATGGGCGGCGGGCGATGGGCGGTAGGCAGCGGCGGTGGGTGGTGGTCGCGGCGGGGTGCGGGCGATGGGCGGTGGCGGCGGGCGGTAGGCAGCGGCGGTATACGGACTACGGTGGACGGTGGGTGGCGTAGAGTGACAGCGGGCAATAGGATGACTACACTAAGCACAGCTTCAGCTTGAACAAGATGTGCCGCTGCAACAGCTGCATGCCACCCGCAGCCATGAGCCAATGCATTTTTTGAGACCGCCCGTTCTCTGCTTCTGAACACTGAAACGTTAGCCCGAATGGCTACACGTCTGTGTTCGACAGCGTCGTTTGGTGCAAATCGGCGACTGTAAAGGGGAGCGGTGGACCAGTTTCACTTGTTTTTGCGAAATGTCGAGTGCATATCATTTGAAATAAACACCATTATCTGCACGTATACCTACCAAAGATGATGCGAATTACAATGCTTAGACAGCATAGCTCGTTTATTTATAAATAACCACTAAGAAACTTATTATAAATAGCATCGATTAGGTTTGAAAAAAGTATTTAAAAAACGGCTTGGTGTTTGGAAACATTCTACTGCGCATAACGGACCTTGCCTTGCTCGGGATCCATGGACGGGGGGGGGGGGGAGGCACACACGTGAACCCGGTTTTTCACGTGCTACGTAGGAGGGTCAGGTGCACATGGTCACGTGGGCTCTGTCACGTAGATCTGTGTGGAGCACATGACCTCCGTTTGACAGTGGCGGCTGATGGCTTGTCGGCTGGAGGTAGCGATGTTTTTTTTGTAAACTTTAACGCAAAAAGGCGATCATTTTTGAAGTCAAGGAATTCAGCAAATTATTTAGTAATAAGCTATGGCGAAAGTTGTATTCTAGTCACGAAGCAATATAGGAAAAAATATCGTTTTACGACGCCGGCATTGTTCGGTAAACCGTCACGGCGTTTCCTTGACCTCCCTCATGGCACTCCCTGACGCCGCCACTGCGATCGGAACGTGCGATAGTACCCGCTGCTCTACCGCTCAGCTGACTGGCAGCGAGTAAACACGAGTGACCTTGGACAGCAGAACTACTGCGCCTCGCGGTGGACCAATCAGCGGTCGTAGCGCGCCGATCCCGGACGCTACGGTTTTCATAAATAACGCCACCCGAGCGTGCGAAGGTTGTCCTTGCGCCAACTGGCCGGTCGGGGGTCTTTACGGCCGGTCTGCCTGAAGGTACCGTTGTGTTGTCCAACCGTGAGCATGGGTGAGACAGGAAAGACGGCCAGTCCAGGATAAGAGTAAGACCAGTTCTGCGGAACAATAAACAAGACGACCAAAATATAATGTCTAATGAACAATACGCACGAACGCCCTTGTGAAGTTCAAGTTTAGCAACGGTTAATTACCAATCACTTTTATTACGCAAGAAAAAACTACCGTTTGACAGCGGAATCGCTAAGAACTTGAAAAAAAAAATACCGCGATGGGAACTCATTCCCGCAACACTGCTGGCTGTCTCCGGAGCGGCATTTCCAAGTATCACGGTAAACTGCCAACCTCTCATATATTGGCGCGGCTGTCACGGAACCTGCGTCAACCGTCCTGACAGATAAAACGAGCCGGTCTCTGACCCGCACTGCCCCCCCCCCCCAATTTACGACTGTTCAGTGTTCAGCGGCCTGACAGCTGCATCCAGGCGCGAGATCGCATGGGTCGGGCGCGGTCCGTATTCAGCGAAGATCCGTATCTGTAATTTGCAGCTCAAGGACACAGCGAGGCTGCGTGAGGCCGACACGCAGATCCAATATGGCCGCCCCCTCAAGGACACCAGCCGCAGCAGAAGCAGTCGCCAGTCGGCCATGTTCTGCTCAATCGAGCCGAATAAGAATAAGCGTATGTAGCACGTTCAAAGAGCGGATTTGCAATTTTTTTACCGTTCTCGGCGGCTGACAGCGCAATGGGCGTGAGGAAAGGTTACGCTGAAATTTACACCAAAGATGAGATTGTTTCACCAGTACCGTAAACTACTACGAACATCACTAAATGCTGTCCTAAGTCAACACGCACATAATGAGCTCTTATATTTTCTTCTTCAGCCAGTGAAAGTGTGGGCTGGGGACTGGGAAAGGACGCGTTTGCGCGCTGCTACGTCTGCCTGGAGACAGACTGCGCCGCGCGGCAGCGGTGCACGGCGGCACAGCCTACCCACCTGTAAACTCCTTCAGCCGCTTACTCCCCCGCCTCGCCCCGTCCCCTCAGCGGTCGCCCGGCACAACGAAACGGAACACCACCCTCAGCTGGGCCACAGCTGTGCGCCAGCTGTCTCTGAGACCCCATAACCTCTCCCGGTCATTCATCAGCAACAAATATCTGCGTAAAACAGGGCGGCAGCGGAGGTCGAGTCTTCCCTCCCGCGCGGGGTCACCACACCCGATGCGGTTCACCTGCGACCATAATGACGCGCCAAACAAGAGAGCACTGTGTCTGTTTGGTGGCAGCGGGGCGGGCCGTGACACATTGGGTCCAATGTGACCGGTGGCGGGGGTGGGACGCCCTCTATGTGCCGGTTCGACTGTGGGCGTGACGCCTGTTCAGAGCGGCGGCGAACGGCGAACGCTGACAGTGCGCGCTGCTGGCAGTGCTGACAGTGAACAGCGCTGATACTGCTGACAGTGCTGACAGTGCGCAGCGCTGGCAGTGCGTACCGCGGATACTGCTGACATTGTGCGTTGTGCCGGGGCAGCACGGCCGGCCGTTTTTCGTTTTATGGACGGTGGTAAAAGCCGAGGAGCGGGTTATGGAAAATTGGATTCTACCGAACGAATGCAGTATCAGTAAATTCCACAGCCGGCAAAGTTTCATTCTTGGAAATGGCGTACTACTCAAATATCTCTCATAACATATTATGACAAAAAAGGAAATATAACGACGCACAAATGTGAAATAGCGCAGTTCCATTATAAACCTGTAATAAATTAGCGATTTTTTTTTGCTTTTGTTCAAGTTAATTGACCTTATCGCAAGGGGCTTACTTCTGTACCACTGCAAATTTTTAGCGGTCAATAAAGCATCCACATTAGCAAAGGCCTTCGCTTGATTTTGTCATTTACCTAGGCCGTGGCCATTTGCATCGAGCCGTAATAAGGTTCAGTGATCGCGTGCAATATCAACCGCGCATTTACTGGGTTTTACTGAGAACATGCATGCGGAATGCAGGCAATTTTCTAAATACAGCAGATGCATTGAACACGGTCCATTTTCAGGCTGGTAAAGTTCATCAGCCTCCACGGCTACAGCGAGCCTCCAAACCGCTCTTCACAACATTTCTGGAAAACTTTGAACAGGTGTGCTGTCGGTAAGTGTCGGGCAGGGCGAATCCCGAGCTGGGTTTGCTAGTTCATTCCACCCGGGATGATTCATTCTCTGCGCATCCGGTATGAAACCACTCAGCTCGCTCGCCACCCGCCTCACCGGTCGCCTGTCAGTTTTTGCACCATTCACGTGCCGCGTCGAACACTGTGCATGTGCGACTGTTGTTTACACCGTGTTTGGATCTCTGACTACCGGCCGACTGCTGTCAGCGGCACACTAAAACCCTACCATCCGGCACAGCCATACGCAGCCACAAAAACGTACCCGCCACCACCGAGCAGCGACAACAACACGGCAATCAACGGCGCCGCAATCGCCGTCATTAGTGACGTCACTGGGCGAGCGGTGATGACGTCAGTGGGGTGGGCGGGGCAGTCGGTAATGACACAGACAACGAACTCGCACCGTTCCGTTCCGTTTTGTTCCGCCGTTTCGTTTTGGCTCAGCCGTGACTTTTTCCATCCGCGACGCATTTGTCCTGTCACAGTTGTTATTGAACACGATCTGACAATACAGTAATGCGACGCAGTACATCCGGAACATACATTTTTGCCGCTCTCACGCAGCCAGTGATTTCAATCCTTGTGTGGGTGTCAGCGGCCGCGCCGGTACCGCAGGGGGCATGTCTAGCTGTTGCAGTTCAACGTCTGTGAGCGCCAAGTCCGCCCACAGGGAATGAGGTGCACGCTCAATATCAAGGTCACGGGGAGGGGGGGGGGGTCCGACCCGGCCGCCCATCTGGCTCCGTGCCTTGCCCCCGGGCCAAAATAGCTACCCTCGGAACAGCGGCCGGCTGAGCATTGCAGCGGCAATATGGTACCAAATGACGTCATGAGTTCGGCATGGTCACCCGGTGGTTATTGTGGGTTGGGTTTTGAAGTATGATGGGGAGATTGTTGTAGTGTGATGATATTGTATATAACTGCATTGAGTTAAAGATAATAAATGGACGTGAAAATTCAAAACATGAACATCGACTTGTAATAACTTTATATCAAACATTGTTATTTTATATCGAACAGTGACTGCCTTTAATTTATATCATTCTTGATATAGGCAAGCCAAGAACAATGCTGTCTACTGGAACAGCTATAAGGTGCACACTGCACTGCGCATGTACTGTTATGTTATTGTGATACAGTGTAGTTACATTCGCATGTCATCACTGTTGAAATTAACCTTCGACAGGTAGTTAAGCGAAGGGCACTGTTCCAGTGAACAATGAACTTTCCCTGACCCCATGTGCAATGTGCATTATTATTCATCGCGACCCCAGGTAGCAACAGAGTGCACCTGGTACACTTCTGCGTGCGTCATTCTGCCTGCAAAGACCTGTAATTGAGCACGCAACAAAACACTATACCGTGTTATCAAAGCCACGCATCCAGCCCTAAACCACATCCACTCCCTCTCCTCTCGGATAACTGGGTACTCACTGTCGTAGGAGAACTTTGGGCTCTTGGGGCTGGCGGAGAGTGACATCAGAACCATGGCGGCAGTGCACTCGGTCATCTCGCCCTTCTTGCGACCTTGACCGTGACCTTGACCTGACTCGGCCCCGTCCGGCGACGAGCGGCGTTTGCGCGAACTGAAACAAAGAGAGAAATCGGTTAAGAGGAGGGAAATAAAAATAGGCAGGCGAAGGGGAGAAAAAAAATGGTTTAGTCTTCCGCAGTTGTCTAAACTGTTTGATGACCGTCATCTGTAAAAGGGTGACATGCGATCAAGTGTCTGCTTAGTATTGCACTGTGCTATGAGGTCATTGTTATTAGAAATCAATGCGCTCAATGAATGCCATTACAGGTCAGTGCTGACCACACAAACAACCTCCTTCTGTGCGGACGCTGAGATCAGCACTACCTATTGTCAGCGGTCCTATCGTCAGCATGCGCTGGGTCACACTGCCTGAGGAGCTCCGGGCTCTGACGTTCCGCGCGGACTCAGCAGTCTTATGCGGCGGCAATGGGAGCAGTATCAGCCCTTTTCTCAATGAAGGAACTCTGGTTTTAGTATGGACGCGTGCCCTGGTGAGACTGATTCCAAAGACAAATTCACAATTAAGAACGGAGTAACCAGTTTGGTTAACACAAAACCTGCATCAGTTGTCATGCGTGGGGAAGGAGAAAGGGTAGGGTAAACTCGAATTCTTATTTTGTAGACAGCATGCGTTATCGGCTCTTCATATTTCAGTGTAACCGCTCAGTTTTTCTTTGTAGATCAAACACTGACATTCTTATCAGCTGTTGATGCTTATAGATAAGTCCCTTATAGCCGGGGCTTCTGTCAATATAGCCCGAGCATATTGAGCACCGAGGTTCGATTCACCTCTGTAATAATCAGGACGCGTGTCGTTCACCGAAGTCGACAGCTGCCACGGGGAAATTTGTCGGTGTGCCGCATCAGACATCCACGAAGTCAGTAAACACAATGTCACTGTTAGATTATTGACGCTTGGGATTAAAACAAGGGACATCCTTGGTGAATGTCGTCGAGAACACGCTCGACAATCATGCGAGGCGTTCAACCGGTGGTCCTGTTTTCCATGCGTTTGTGATCAGTCTAATCCGTTTCAATCCCATCGGGACGGGGTTGTTTTGATGTGGTAGCTCAGTTCAGTCAGCCGTCACTTCCAATGAGCGCAGAGCGCGACGCATGTTTCACTCCAGTCACGCTATCGTCCGATTGGGCAACATCAGAGGAACATCAGACGGGAGCAGTGAACGCTCCTCCCCCCCCCCCCCCAGCGACCGGGCGTGTCCCGGGTCAAGGTCACGCGCGCAGGGTCACGTCACCTGCCGACGCGCGGCCCACGCAGAGGACACCCACTCTGTGCGGTTGCCAAGGTCATCGTCTGCAAGCAGCTGACAGGTGCCGGGCGACAGCGCGGTGCACCCGGACAACACAGGGCGATATTCCCGGACAACACAGGACGATGTGCCAGTATGCTACACCTGAACAGCTCGGGTTTCGCATGTCTTTTTTGAAAAAAAACTTCTTTTCAACCTCCTTTGTCAAAGCGCGAACCCACGGCTGCAAAATGACACGAACACACAACCCGTCAAAGCCACCCTGTGCTCGACGCACAACGCGTAACCCCCGAGGACACCCAGCCCGGCCAGGGGTGTCAGTGTAGGGGGTCACTGACACCCCCCCCCCTGGGCTGACACGCAGGTCGCACGCCGGCCTGACAGGCGGATGCGTGCAGAACCGGTTTCGTTCCGGCTCGCCCATGGTCTGTCTGTCAGACTGCGGGCTGGCCGGTGAGGTGGGGTGGGTGATTTGCACGTTCCTATGTTGAGCAGATGGACGGTACGATTGTACCCGGCGTCGCGTGCACGATGGGTGCTCAGCGCTGACCGAGCCGACCAAGGACAGCACGCTCATTGGTCATCGCAGTTAGTTCCGGGACCCGATTTGGTGTTCGATTTTGCCTGCAAAGTGGGGAAGTTCGTATAGCGAATGGAAGGTTCATCCCTAAAGCACTGGTTCACTGTCTGTCTGAGCATTTAATAAAAGGTCCATGCTATTGAAAAATAGATGAAAAGCATATTGAGAGCAGAAATTTAGCTTCCTTATATCTCAAGGCCTTTCATTATTGCACGCCTTCGAACACCTGGCTCCAAAAGGCGCTCGAATTATGAGCCCCAAACCTCGAACACCTTGGCTGCACGGAGCGCCAGTTTGCGAGACGCCTTCCAGAAAATGATCGCCAGCCTTCCAGACCAAGTGACAATGAGTCACCATCTATCTCCCTAACAACCTCGATCGTAACCTTCTCGACTCTGTGATAACTATCGCCGGAACGACGCAATACGTTTAGGGATAAACCACTTTATGTTGCTGAAAACCCAGGCCAGCGCCGATGCGTTTCATTCCGGTGAGGAGGTTGCCTCAATACGCTACTTAGCCTCGCTCTTATCCCTTCCGACTCAGAATCCAATGCGAGGTCGCGGGTGCGTGAAAGGTAGGCGTTGCGTTGGAGTGCGCAGAGCGGGTGCGTGTGCGGATCTTTACGCCAGTTTTCCGGCTGGATGCGGGTGAGGGCACGGTGCCAGCGCCGCAGGTCGTTACCGAACACTCCACAAAAACTGTCCCCAAAAGAGGGACGTTTACGACGAGTCTTAAACGTCTTTTTGTGGCGCACTAGAGCGACAATATTGCCGGCACTTTCAGCCCGCGAGGACGACAGAGAGGGCGGCGGAGTCTTGGGCTGAGGCAGGCGGCGTCAACAGCTGTCAACAACAGCCGAACGCTGCCGTCAAAATGAATGGACAGCCAGCAGTGCACTGAATCGCTCTATGAAACGAACCATCATCGCACCCTGACTGACGTATACCAAAGTCTCATCGATTTATGATGCCTAGCTGCCGCTAAAATTAAACGTTCGTGAGGAAAAACACATAAGCCTGAGAAATGGCTATTTGATCCTGCTATTAGTAATATGCATGGCACATGGAATCCCAATGTAAATGTTTATGAGCGTGGCTTGAAAAAAATCACATTGACAAGACGAAGATCAATCATTCTCAGATAAGAAAGACATCAGAAATGGCATGCCAATATTTGCACGCCATATAATCCGTTGCAATGTACCGAAACAATATGCCACGGGTACGCAACCTTCTGATGTTTCACCGGCCCATCATACCAAACCGCAACCCACAACAATAAGACCTTGGGAGAGCACCTACACAACGTCTGATTGATAGTGCCCGTCCCGTGCACGACCCATGCTAAGTAACCGTAAGGTCGTCTCATACGCCACGCCCGCCCGGCATTTAAAGGCCGCTTTACACCACGCCCCGCCCGTCCCCGCCCGCCCGTCCGGGCGGGATCTATCCGCTCAAGGACTCCTGCACCGAGCGGCCTTGCATTCCGCCGCCGCTTCCGACCGTGACGTCATCTATGTGTATGACGTCACCCAGAGGCGGATCCAGCTCAGAGGTTTGGGGGGGGGGGGCAAACCATAAAAATTTATCGATTCTTTCCATGCATCGTCCATAGGCGTAATGTTAAAATCATGCCGTTTGGGGGGGGGGGGCAAATGCCCATTTTGCCCCCCCCCCTGGATCCGCCACTGACGTCACCAGCCAGCTGTCCATGAGCTGCGCCAGCTGCGCGGTGAAAGGCTGGCGCAGCTCGGCGAGGCGCCGGCGCGGCGCAAGGGCGGATACAGAGACCGGTGCAGCGGGGGACGACAGCGTCTTACCCAAACACAGCTGTGAAAACTGCAACTCCATGTCTGATACATATCATCATTAAACTAGAAGTCAAACAAACGATTTGGCAGAATAAATCAAGTCTGGACACTCTCAGACTGAAGCTTGTTGAATATTTCAACTTGTGGTGAAACCAGTGTGACGACGACGCCCGTCAAAGCGTGTCACAGCGGCAGCGGCAGGCCGACTAACTAATACCGTCCACCGCCGCCGTCACTGCGTCGGACCTTCCTTACACGCGGTGGTGCAACAGCCGCCCTGGGGCCGGCGCGGCGTTACCCAAGCCCCGGCAATCGTGAGGCGCTGCGGGACCCTGGGGCAGCCGCCGCGGCCCCGCCCTCACCAGCTAATGGGGGCCTCGGGAGTGTCAGGGCCAGCCAGCGCCGAGCTAACGGTCCATAGTCAGGAAGACTGTCGGAGTTGGACGACACGACTTCAGAATTAGAATGGAGTGACTTAGGCCAGAGCTTAGTGGTGAGAGAGGAGTGAAATGATATACAAGTCTCATAAACTGAATAACTCAAGCATTGATAAAGGAGGAGTTACATGCGGACTCGTAATTATCGTATCATTGAGCCGTAAGTCGGTCAAAAAAGAAACTTAAATAGTTTGAACGATTTTTTTTTTTGCAAAATCCCGGCGCCGCTGTATTCGCTCTTCTGCCGTCCACTGCCGCTGCCTTCAGGGATGTCCGACTGTTGCGCAAACTAAACTCCCAGCGCTGTGACACCCGAAACCAGCTCCACGGCTGCGGTCGCGGTGGGGAAAGCGTCCAGCAAGGGAGGGGAGAGGGGATCAGCAGCACGTGCCGACCCCCCCCCCCCCCCCGACCACTGCTCCCGTCCTGCCGGCACTGTCGGCTGTCAGGTGGAGGTGTGTTCACCGTCCGCGCGTGGGCAGCTCAGGGCAGCTCGTGCAAGGTGCACCAGTTTACACACGCGCAGGTCCAGCTGCCAAATCAAAGCCGACGTCGGGCTGCCAATCGGCGGCCATCGGCGGGTGGTGGGTGGTGGCCAGGCGATGGGCGGTGGGCTGCGGGCGGCGGGCGGCGGCGACCTCGAGTCCATGTCGGCTTATCGCAGTCGGCGGCGGCGCGCCTTGCAGAGTTGTTGCAATGTTGCACGGCGTCAGAGTGATGCAGCGGCGGGCGCGTGCGGCGTTAGTGGCGCGTCTAGACGCCACCCTCCGGCGCCTGCTGCGATCCACTTTCGCTGCGCCATGAAACGCCGAACTGCGCCACCAATCGGCTCTGAATCGCGTAGCTAAGACTGCCTGCGCCTCCATCAATCCTGCCGCAGCGGGTAGAGTACTGCACTTACTACATTCAGTTCAGAAGCGGTTTCTCTACGCAGTCAGTTGCAAAGCTCCGCCATGGCACTGCCAGTGCAGCCGTTATGGACTGCAGTGTGCGCGCAGTACAGTTCCGGGCTGGGGCTCTCTGAGGCATGGTAAAAGCAGTCGGATCAAGATGACGGATTATGGCGCAGCTGCTCGGATTATAATGCGCTAGGCCTTGACGTAAGACCATGTCCTCAAAGGCTATGATATTGATAACCAGCTCACTAATTACGCTGCAAACTACACCTAGGCGAGAGGTGGCATTGTTCCAATTGTTGGACAAACCTAAAAATAAGGCAAAAACATCATGAAATTCAGCAAGCGAAATACCTACAGAGTAAAGCATAACTAGAGCATCCGGCTACGTGAGCACGGTATTTCTAAGCTGATGAGCTTAACGCGGAAGTGCAGCGCACACCGGGCCCAGAAAGCCACAAACCAGATCTGCAGGAGCCGTTTCACTTCTCGGACATTCCTCCTCACCCCCTGGGCGTTTGTTTTCTTCTCTAGCGGAGACTCAAGCGTCGCACCATTCGCCCGGTATCTAGATGCGTAGGTGATAGCGCACGAGCCGCTTTCGAGCCGGTATTGAAATTTAAAGCGCCGCCGCTCGCGGCAGGCAGCTTAGCGGCCTGTCCCTGTCCGTCTGTCCAAGGCAAACAGGTTTGACCGTCGTCCCTGCGAGGTCATAGCCAAAGGAGCGGCCGGAGCGCGGGAGGGGTGGTCAGGGGCCGACAGGGGACTAAGAAAGCTAGAGGGGTAGGGACGGCAGGGAAGATTTAGAAACTTGCGGCTACTCATCAGGCGTTTAAGTTTTCTGCATGAAAAAAAAAAACGAACAACCGGGCGTGGCCAGCAAATGTCGTAATTCTGGGCTTATTCTGCAAAAGTTTTGCAGCGTCGTGACGAAAGGCTCAAACGCCTTTTACCATTGACGAGGTCATTTTGCAATGAGGAATTGCCAGTTGCTACGTTTATAAGTATCCTTCACCACAATACGCGAATTTTGAAAAGCCTTCCATGTAGTTATGTGATGGTATTGCTGTCTCAAGCATCTGTCAGTCACGGATGACGGAAGGTCGATAACGTTAAGTCTATAATTGAGTAAAAGTATAATATCTGGCTCGCCTCCTATTTACTTTCCTTTCAGCTATATCTGCCGTGCCGTGTTCCGCTGGAATACGAATCAACAGCTAGCATCATTTTATCTTATTCATAATACCGTAAAAGGTCATGGCCTTGCCATTCAACTTTAGGCCATGGAGCACTAGCCAAAGACTGCAAAAAGGAGCAGCCAGCTAGAGAGATTTGCAGGAACCTAGTCTAAAAATACCCGGCGGCTGCGCAGATAGGATGCTGATGGCCTTCCCAGCTCTCTTTTCCAGCCGATACCACGATATCCAAGCCATCGGCGACGCAGACCGGCCGGTTAACCAATCAATCACGTGATCTGGCACGTGACCCGGTGTTTCCTGGAACTCCCCGCAGTTAGCCCTGGCGACCTGCGCCGGCGCCGGAGCTGTGCGTCTCTGCAGCCGCCGCGTGACAATTTTTCACGGCACCGGCCGGCCGGCACCACGTCCTTGGCCGCTCGAGTGACCCAGTTGCACGGCCCGGCCGGCGAGCGGCGGCGGACGGGGGCGGCGGCGGGGGCGGGCTGCAGCTTATGTGAAGGCCGCGCGCTGCCCACTGCCGGTGACTGCGCTAAGCACCGGTACATGGCCTTGCAATGAACCTTCTAATAAGGTGTTAGGTAATTTCCAATAAGTGCCGAAAACCACCCCCACCTTCGCTAGATCGTGCGAATGTCGTTGTCCCCAGCGCTATTGTCACCGATTCGCCCGGAGAACAAGAGCCGAGACGTCATCCATGCTATGCGGTGCAGTATGCGCGCAGGCGTATACCACTAACGCCATCTAGGAGCTAAAATATCGTTACCGAGCACCATTGAACCGCCGCGCGATGTCGATAGGCATTTGTTTCGATGCGAGATAGTCCCTTTAAACTCTCGTCACTGGCAAATGGGAAGATAAACGACAAAAAAATATTCCTTCTGACGTCAATTCCAGCGCTGTCACATTACGTCGCGTTTTTAGACTCACTGACCGTCATCGGCTAGTTCATCTTTCAGGCCGTCAGTTTTTGCCAACCACCGCTGACCGACCGTCACCCGATGGCAGCTCAGTTGGCAGCTCAGTTGGCAGCTCAGTTGGCAGCTCAGTTGGCAGCTCAGTTGGCAGCTCTGACGGCTACCTGTCACAAGGTCACATAGCCTGTGACGCACGCACTGACCGCCCATCATATCATCAGTACTGGCTGACATCAGGGACCGTGGACAAATCCTCGGATATTGTTGAATACCCCGCCTGAGCCAGCCGTGAGCTCCCGATGCCCTCTCCTGACCGGCCCGAGGCGGGCCCGTTTTTATTAGAGCTCGGTGGTTGCCGGCACTGGCCAAAGCAAACATGTCGGCGCACGGGGCCCGGTCACGGCGGGTCAATTAGAGAGTGGCGCCGGAGCCAGAAACGCATTAGACGCACGCAAACACACAAACACGCACACACGCTCAAGCTCGGTCGGCTAGAATTGCAGATAGAGGTTGGCAAGTGATTTCGTGTTTTTATGATGAATTTGTTTGTAAAAGTGCTCAAGCGTTGTTGTAAAGTGGATGCATAATATTGGATTTACTTTGAATGATCTAATTGTTCCCGCCTGCGCTCCTCGCGTCGTCTCAAACGCATCGCTGCCTGTTCGTGATGCCAATTTATATTCTCTTGTAATGCGATGTGGCAATGCAATGTTATGCAATGCAATGATTTCTGGAAAAGACAATCGTTACGACAATCGTTACGAAAAGATATAAATGAAATGTCCGACAAATCAAACAGACCGAGAGTAAATCAAACAAGAGTCGGTCAATGCAGTGATACAGCATGAATACACATGAATAATTTTAGTAAATAAAAACAAGTCCTTACCGACTGTATCGCAATCACAGCGCAGACAGGTGGTGATACCGCCAAACAATGAATCGGCCAAAAACGAACATATTTACGGTACTTGTTTTGTCAACATTTTAAGTGAAATGAGGCCAGAAATTACAATATACAATGCAAACTTGATGAAAACAACTTTTGCTCATTTTTAGCAGAACAACAAAAACAACTTTCTGTTAAATGACATAATAAATGCAAAATGCACATGCTTGTCAATGATGGCGCTTGCAGCCCGGAGTCGTGCGCATCTTCGGCGCCTCGGCGCCGCTACACCCTCCCCGTTCGGTCTTCAAGGCCGAACATGCAAAACGAGAACACAAGGGGAACATGTCGAGGCAGTGCGCACGTTTGCATTTCCCCAAATCAACAAGTACCTAATTGCGCAACGCTAAGATTGCCTCAATCGAACTGGCACAGAGACCATCTGGCACAGCGTCCTCGCTCAGCTGGCGCCTAGCACAATGACACCAGCTTCGTGACTGGGCGCCACATCTCCCTTCCTTTCGTTTTCACCTTAACACTTCTCACCAGTCCGTCCTGGCTAGCACGCCTTTCTACCACGCGACCCAGTGGCCACTGGATTCTTGGAAGGCCACTGTCGGCGATCACTACAACATCTCCAACCTCCAGTGATTTCTCTGGCTTGAGCCACTTCTGTCGGCTTTGTAGTAGTGGAATGTACTCCTTGGTCCATCTGGACCAGAATATGTCTGCCAGGTACTGTACCTGACGCCACCTTCTCCGAGCATACAGATCGTCAGGTCCAAACAATCCAGCTGGAGGTGAAGCGACACCGTTGAGCAGCAACAAATCGTTAGGGCTGAGTGGCAGTGGATCTCGGTGGTCGAGAGAAACGAAGGTCAGAGGTCTACTGTTCAGTATTGCCTCTACCTCGCAAAGCAAAGTCCGCAGCGTCTCATCTGTCAAAGTCTGTTGCGTTAACAAACTGTTCAAAGTCTTGCGGATGGAGCGAACCATGCGCTCCCAAACACCCCCATGGTGGGACGCGCTCGGTGTGTTCAGGACCCATTCAATGTTTCTCCTGAGCATGGCGTCGTGGCACACTGATTCGTTTTTCAGCAGGCGATCTACTTCTGATGCCAGCTCCCTCTCACTGCCCGTGAAGTTTGTCCCTCTGTCTGTGCGAATCATTTTGACGTGACCTCTCCTTGACAGAAACCTCCTGAGCGCACACAAGAATGAATCTGTGGACAAAGAGTCTGCTACTTCTATGTGCACGGCTCTGATCACCAGGCAAGTGAAAATGACGCCATATCTCTTCTCCTGTCCACGACCACGCTTCACGAAAAAAGGCCCAAAGAAGTCAATGCCAGTGTTCGTGAAGGGAGGTTCTGGTGTAACCCGATCGGGAGGCAGATCAGCCATCTTCTGTACTAGGAGTGGCCCTCGACGGCGCCGACATCTCAGACAACGACTCAGGACACGACGCACCGCTGAGCTACTGTTCAAGACCCAGAAACAAGTACGGAGCTCCGCCAACACGTGCTCTCGTCCAGCATGCCCAACTTTCTCGTGTATATGCTGAATGATCAGGTCAACCACGTGGTGGCGCTTTGGTAGTACAAGAGGGTGCCTTGCGTCCTCGGAGAGATATGGCGTTGGTGAGTCGTCCCCCCACTCTGATGAGATCATCGTTAATGAACGGATCCAAACGAGCCAAGCGACTGCTCGCTGGCATTTTCTCTCTCCCCGCTGCCTGCAGAGCCTTGTACTCTGTTGAGAAAGCCGTTCTTTGGACGTGTCTCACAACTGCTTCTTCTGCGTCTCTTAAGTCGGCTACGGAGAGTCGCAGTTTCTCAGTCTTGCCTTCAGCAGCGACCCCGGGATGATTATCAGCGGATGATGCCTTAGTTGTTGCCCTCTCTTTCAGTTTCTGCTTGACTCGGAGGATCCATGCGACGGCTCGACGCAGACGATACCAAGAAGAGAAGTGCTGGAACAGCGTGATCAGTGGATCGCGATCATCCGATACCAACACAGCCCTCACCGTCTTCTTCACCTCTGGATCCTCTTCTGGTCCACCATCAAGTCCCTGGGGAAACGCTGGCCAACTGGTCTTTTCTTTCCATAGAAAGCTCGGTCCATCGAACCACCGACTGTTGGACACGAAAGATGGTCCATTTTGACCTCTTGAAGCGTCGTCTGCCGGATTTCTGGCCGACTCGACGTATCGCCACTGTTCTGGCGAGGATGTGTCTCGGATGACAGCAATCCTGTTGGCCACAAAAGTGTGGAAGCGTGTGTGTTCGTTTCGCACGTACCGAAGGACTGTTGTGCTATCAGTCCAAAACACTGATCTGTCGATAGGGATCTGCAGAGCACGTCGTAGCATGACGTCCACTCGAGCCGCCAGCACAGCTGCAGTCAGTTCAAGACGAGGTATCGTCATCCCCTTCAGTGAAGCCACCCTGGACTTGCCGAAAATGAACGAGCAATGAATTCTGCCTTCGTCGCTCGTCAAGCGTAAGTAAGTGACAACACCATAGCCAATGCTACTCGCGTCTGAGAAGTGATGCAGTTGACTCGACTTCACGGTTCCGAATCCGTGTGGTTTCAGGCATCTTGGAAGACTGATCTCGGACAAAAGTGGAATGCCCTTCAGCCACTCCGACCACCTGGCAGCCAAGTCGCCTGGAGCTACGTCGTCCCAACGAAGCTGTCGACGTGTCATCTCTTGAAGAACCAGTCTGCCGTGAAGCACGAACGGAGCGCCCATTCCAAGAGGATCATACAGAGACCCGATCACTGCCAGCATTCCTCTGCGGGTGCATGGTTTCTCTGGAAGTGGTAGCGCTGCAAAGCTGAGTACATCAGGCTCAACCTGCCATCGCACTCCTAGAGCTTTCTCTGAGGGAAGGTCTGCATCAAGCACTAAGTCACGAACCTGTTTCCCTCTCTCGTCGGTTGGGACGGAGTCCAAAACCTTCCTGCTGTTTGACACAAACTTAGTGAGACGGAACCCACCTTCCCGACACAGCTCTCGAAGTTCTCGTGCGATTTCGACGGCCTTCTCCACAGAACCAACCGATTTCAGACAGTCGTCTACATAGAAGTTTTCTTCTACTGATCGTCTCGCTTCGGCTGTGTATCTGTCACCATAGTCCTCAGCAGTTCGTCTCAGAGCGTAATTGGCGATACTGGGCGATGACTTAGCACCGAAGGGATGGACTGTCATGCGATACATGTCTGGCGGCCTAGCCGTGTCACCGTCCGGCCACCAAAAGAATCGTAGCATGTCTCTGTCGCCTTGAGGGACACGCACCTGATAGAACATGGACTCAATGTCGCCAATGAAAGCGACTTGGTCCTGTCTGAACCGCACCAAAACGTCCACTAGAGGTGTCGTTAGGTCGGGTCCTTGTAGGAGCGAGTCATTCAGTGATTCTCCCCGGAACGAGCTGGAGCAGTCGAAAACAACTCGCATTTTGTCCGATTTCTGCCCGTGCACTCCATGATGTGGAATGTATGAGACCTTGCCATCACATCGTCTCAAATCTTGGTCCGGGACCTTTTCGGCGTATCCCTTAACGAACATGTCTGTCATGAACTCCGAGTACTTATCTTTGAAGGACTCGTTAGTGAATCTTTTCCTCAGACCTTGAAGCCTTCTGAGAGCGACTTCGCTGTTATCGGGCAGTGAAGCTTCAGTTTTGAGCGGCAGTGGTAGCTCGTAATGACCACTTGACCTTCTCAGCCCGGCTTCCACCTTTTCCAGCCAGCGATGGTCTTCAACTGACCACCCTCGCTCTTCCGAAGCCAGGTTCTCATTCAGCTGAAGCTGTTGGAGCTCCACTTTGATGCGGTTCGCGGTGTTCCTCATCTGCGTCCATTTCAGGTAACGAACTGGGCCATTGATCACCCAACCTAGCCTAGTCTTCACCGCGAACGGGCCACCGTCACGACTCTGGATAATATCGATAGGCTCCAAAGCGGCGGGCACGTTTACTCCAATCAATAGTCCAACCTCAGCGTCTATTTCTGGCGGAATCACGTCTTGCAGGTGCGGCCAGTCTGAGAGGTCTTCAACTCTGCATACCTCCTCGCTGCTGGCTGGAATACTGTCCAACGAAAATACAACTGGCAGACGAACGTCATTATTTTCGTCGATGTCACATACTGACAAGCCCTCGACTGCCGCCGTCTGAATGTTCAGGGGGTCCTTGGCCATGGTCGCGACAGATAGTTTGGTTTTCAGAGGTGTAGAAACTCCTAAACTATCTAACAGAGACTGAGAGCAGAATGTCGATGAACTCCCACTGTCCAAGAAAGCGTATGTCTCTACGGACGGCCCATCCCGGTACTTGACCTTTACAGGAACAATCGGCATCTTCATTGCCACTTGTTCTCCAGTTCCTGCGGAAACAACGTTAACCGCTGCTTGTGGTGTTTGTTCAGCAGAGGTCATGGACATCGACGGCTCGCTGGGATGATTGGCTGCCACTTGGTACCTGTGTAGCACAGACGGATGGCCCTTCTCACACACGGCGCAGGTCAGACGGGATTTACACCACTTTGACCGATGACCCGCCTTTAAACATCCAAAGCAGAGTTTTTGATGGCGAACAAACGCCTCTCTTTCTGGTAGTGGCGTCTGAGCAAACACTGGACATACATCCAGATCATGATCCCTCTTGCAGAGAACACATGTCTTTTTCCTTGCTTCCGTGTTCTTGCTAGCAACGTAGTTGCACCTGGCCTTGTTGTTCTCGTGAGGCTTCTCAGCCCTAAGAGGCTTCCCAGTTCTTGGCGCGTCATTCTTGGTGTATACCTGACGACCAAAGGCAGCATTTGAAGCGATTCTAGCCTCCACTTCAATCAGGGTGACCAGGTCGGAGAACAGAGCTGACCTTTTTTCTTTTTCTGCTAGATTGTCAACTTCTCTTCGCCATCTCTCTTGAATCGCATAGGGAAGCTTCTCCAAAACCATTTTCATTGTTTTTGGATGGTTCAGCTCATGGCTGGCTCCCATCAGACTGTCCACCGCGTTCTGACAGGTCCTCATCTCCACCGCGAGCTTGTCGAGTCCGGTGACATCATCAGCCTTCACAAGTGGCCAGTTCACTAGACGGTCGATGAATGACTCGGCCATCCGATCAGGGTTACCATACCTCTTCATCAACAGCCTCTTCGCTTCCTCATAGCCACCAGCCTTCATAAACATGCACCCCCGTACGATGTCTCTTGGTGTACCAGAAGTAAACTGCTCCAGATAGCGAAGCTTCTCTTCCTCATCAACGACCACGCTAGCGACTCGTCCATCAAACGCTCTCAGGAACTGGTGGAATCTGGTAAAATCGCCTGCGAACACGGGAATGTCAGGCTTCGGGAGAATACACGAGGTGAGCAGCTTCTTCATCAAACTCGCCTGAGGATCCTCGTTCCCGGTAAGTCTAGCTTCTGGTGCCGGCGGGAGAGTGACCGGCCTCGAAGCGGACGGGATCCTTTCGTGGCTCTTGTTGCCGGTCGCAGTCCTTGAAACAGTCGAGTTGGGCTCGCTCTCTGAAAGCGCGATCTCAAAGGCTTCGGATTCTTCGATGGCTTCACGCAGCTTCAACTCCTCCCTTTTCATCTTCAGCTCCTGCTCACGAAGCTCCAACTTCTGCTTTTCCTTAAGAAACTTCATTTTCACTTTCAAAGCAGCTCGTCTAGCTGACTCCTGGGCCTTCTTAGAAGCCAGCGATGATCTTGTACTTCCCCGAGACAAGACGGACACACCGGCCTGGGAAGCACTGTCAGCTGGCTGCACATCTTCATCAGGACAGACAGCCGGCTGATTTACCGGGTCCCGAACAACGTCCTGACCAGCAGCGGAGGCCCGCAAACGAGCACCAGCACCAGATGTCTCAATGCAGCAAACCTCAGGAGCTGAAGCGTCAATAGCTATATCTGGTTGGTTGGGTCTCGAGCCTCCGTCGACGAGACTGGCCACGACAGGACTGGTAGCCGAAGCAGCTGACTGACCTACCTGACGTTCATCATTCTGGCCCTCCCCGGTCACAGAGTTACCGATGAGACGAGCAACAAATAGGGTAATATCAATACCTTCATCTCGAAGAGCCTCCTCTAACCTTTTTACAAGTACAGCCTTAGCGCCTTTAATATCACGATCTCTAGCCAAAAGCTGTGCCTTTAACAATGGCACTGTCAGCCGCGACAAGTTCATGGTTCTAACGGTAATCAGTACCAGGAATACGCGTATTTCAAACACCAATACGATTGGCAATGCCGGCACACTACATGACAAAACACAAGTTAATCAAGCACAACAGGGTCACTGACCCCATTCAGCTCTCTGCTCGAGAGCCAACGTACCGGCAAGTCGAGACTAACGTCTTTCACTCCCTGACTCGACGCTGCAGCGGCGGCGATTCCATACCGATATCACACAGCCGCCGGTACGACGATCCACTGGCGCCGAGACGAATGAAGTCGAACGGGTCCCGGGTTCGACAGTCGAAAGTGATTTCGACGTACGATCAGTCGACACTGTCACTTCAGATGACAGTCACTTCAATGCGCGGTGGTCGAAACTGTCGATACAGTGCACGACAGTCCAAACTGTCGACAGAGTCGAAACTGTTCCCGCCTGCGCTCCTCGCGTCGTCTCAAACGCATCGCTGCCTGTTCGTGATGCCAATTTATATTCTCTTGTAATGCGATGTGGCAATGCAATGTTATGCAATGCAATGATTTCTGGAAAAGACAATCGTTACGACAATCGTTACGAAAAGATATAAATGAAATGTCCGACAAATCAAACAGACCGAGAGTAAATCAAACAAGAGTCGGTCAATGCAGTGATACAGCATGAATACACATGAATAATTTTAGTAAATAAAAACAAGTCCTTACCGACTGTATCGCAATCACAGCGCAGACAGGTGGTGATACCGCCAAACAATGAATCGGCCAAAAACGAACATATTTACGGTACTTGTTTTGTCAACATTTTAAGTGAAATGAGGCCAGAAATTACAATATACAATGCAAACTTGATGAAAACAACTTTTGCTCATTTTTAGCAGAACAACAAAAACAACTTTCTGTTAAATGACATAATAAATGCAAAATGCACATGCTTGTCAATGATGGCGCTTGCAGCCCGGAGTCGTGCGCATCTTCGGCGCCTCGGCGCCGCTACACTAATCTTACACATGAAAATCACGCTTGACCAAAAACAAGCTTATGTGTTGATGTACTTAACGAGCACTAATTGGATTACCATTGTGCTTCCAACTACAGTTAATGGCGTTGTTTTCATTCCATGCTGGCTGCAGCATACCAAACTGGTTGTTATGCGTATATGGGGGCTATCCAGAAACAAGAGAACAATGAAGGCTATTGGAGCACACAATGCTCCGCAATGCGCTGCTTTATGACCCAGCCGGCAAAACACTGCCTTTGTGAGGATCAGCAAATGCAGCATTAAAAGCATTATCTTGTGGCATCGGCCATCGCCCAGTTTTAACACCATGGTTAGCCAGGTCAGCTAGCAGGGTGCTGTATAGCACGGTACCCCTGTGATTCAACTCCAGCTGCAGGTTTCCATCACACGACTACCTGAGTCGCTGCACCTCAAGCTCCAGCGACCTTCCGACCACGTCTATGGAACGCCCGCCTTTGTCCTCCGACCCCAGTTCCTCGGCGCCGCCGCCGCTGCGTTTACAGCTGGCCCCGCTGAATGCCCATCGCGCCAGGAGCCCATAAATAACCCGGTGAGCGGAGGTCTTTGGACCCTCCCACAGTCATCGCCGCAGGCACTGGCACTAAGGGGAGGAATGAAGAAAAATCGCCCCTCTCTGTCTCCCACTCGCGGTGCGGAGGGCGGAGGACATCCCTCCCTTTCCATTTTCTACCTCCTTCCCCTACCTTTTACTGTTATCATGTCTTCCTGGGTCTCTCGTTGTTTCTGTCTTACTTTCTATCATTCTTTGTCATCATCAGCAGTGAGCTCCCAACGTATCACCACCGCTGTCCTCCGCCGACGGCCGGCCTTCCGTCGTCGCCTCGGGCGTCGAACGGCCTTGCCCGCCGCGGCCGCCGGCGTCGGACGACCTTGACCGGCGGTGACCGGGCGGCGACGACCGATGTGCGTAGAGTTGGCGTCGAGCTGCGTCGGAGCCGACGGCCAACGGTCGACGGCGCCCCGGTGAGTGAACTCAGCCCATCGATCGGCGCTTCAAGGTCGTCGCAGCTTCGGGAGCGACCCGGGAAAGTCGGCCGACGCACTATCCCCCCCCCCTCAGTCGCCGTCGAGCGCTGGCCCCCTCTATTCTGCGTCGACGGCGACGCAATATTCGGCGCAGTTGAGACGCAGTGGGTCGGGAAATTGCGCGTGGTGGATGATGAAAATGATTCATCGTTCCGGGGATGTTGCTGTATACGTAAATAGCTCTGTTTGCAGTCTCCAAAAATGGTGAAAAAGAGTTAAACAGAAACGAGACAAGCCGGGGTAGTCAAAACATCCTGATTCCTGATCAATAAGTGAATACAGCAAATTAGATCAAATCCAGCCGCGCTTATAAAACTGTGTCGAAGTTGATCCAAAGCATACATATGCATGAAACATTGCCAATAAATGAGATAATCGAATGCAACTGGAGAACTGGAACAATCTAGATACCTACAAACCATCACCTGAGCGAGAATGTATGTAATTGAATATAATAAATCAAAACGGCAGCGGAAAGCACAAAGGCGATCCCCAGCTGACCGGAGCTGGTCTTTTGGACTGATCTTGTCCCGCTGGCACGGCTGACCACTGCTGGACCCCTCCAGGGCCCAACGAGTGCAACGCACTTCGTTAACGGTGCTGGGGCCCGGGGCAGCCGGCGAGGTCCATCACACCTACTGCCTTGCTCGCTGTTTCAGCAGCGAGCAAGACCTTTTGACAAGGGTGTTGACCCCATCATTTACAAAGAAAAAGGCACAGGTGCGGCGAAAGTCGACGCAAAGCATCACACATGGAGACGTGGGATGACCCGCTAATGGATTTAAATAGAATATCAGTGGTCGATTGGTGGTATCATTATAGCGAATCTCTCACGGTGTCGAGGAAATCGGGGCAGTGATGAGGGAGTGAGCCGTTTCGAGTACATCAGGTGCCCCGATCACGACCGCGGGTCAGTAGA